TGTGTGTGTGTGTATATATATAATCACTCTGCCCTCCTGTGGGGACTGGACTGACTGCAGGCAAGATGGAGGCAGGGAGAACTGCAGGAGGTGTTGAAATCGGCCAGGAGAGAGAAGGGGAGGCCTGAGCAAAGGCAGTGACAGTTGTGATGGAGAGGAGGGAACAGATTTAGAAGGAAGCATCCACAGGACCTGGTGACTGGGGGTATGTGGTGGGCGGAGGGGGCGGCGGTGGGGAGGAGTGAGAGGTGAGGCTTAGATTTCCTGAGGGAAGAACCCACCTCCTGCCCACCTAGTGGGCCTCCTGGTTTCACCTGGGCAATAGGGTTGGCAGGCATCACCCCTTTTCCTGATGGATGCCCACATTCTTCCACCCTAAGTCAGCCCTGTTCACGGTGGCCCCACTGCCTGTCAGTCATTGAAGCATTGGGTAAGACAGGGGAGAGGGATGGGGAGCCAACATTTGAGGTGGGGCTGGAGGGGACTCTGGACTTTGGGGCCTGCTGTGGCGGGGGAGAGGGGGTAGTGGCTGATTGGCCACCTTGGAGGCCAGGCCCCACCCTGCTGGGAGCCTGAGTGCCCCAGCTCTGGGCCACAGGCTGCCCGTGGGCTCCAGGAATACCCACAGTCTTCCCAAATTATAGGGCCAGGCCACCGGCCTCCGGGAAGCTGCCCCCTGCAAAGGGCCCACAGACAAATTGCTTTAAAAATAGACTTGGGAGCCGGGTGTGGTGGCTCACTCCTGTAATCTCAGCAATTTGGGAGGCTGGGGCGGGAGGATCACTTGAGGCCAGGAGGTTGAGACTGTGATGAGCCAAGATCGAAACACTGTACCCTAGCCTGGGTGACAGAATAAGACCCTGTCACCCTGCCCCCCAAAAAAATTAATAATAAAAAAAAGACTTGGGGTGGCTGAGGAGTTGCAGGGCTGATCTAAGAGGGGTGGATGTCCCTGCCCTCATGGGGTCTAGGGGGAGGCACAAAGGTTTGTCTTTGCCCCTGGGGGATCTCAAAGACCATCAGACGCAGTTCACACTTCTTGTGCTGAGCACAGCTCTAAGCCCTTGACACACATGAACTATTTTTTTTTTCTTTGAGATGGAGTTTTGCTCTTGTTGCCCAGGCTAGAGTGCAATGGTATGATCTCAGCTCACTGCAACCTCTGCCTCCTGGGTTCACTGATTCTACTGCCTCAGCCTCCCGAGTAGCTGGGATTACAGTCATGAGCCACCACTCCCGGCTGATTTTGTACTTTTAGTAGAGACAGGGTTTCTCCATGTTGGTTAGGCTGGCCTTGAACTCCTGACCTCAGGTGATCCGCCCTCCTTGGTCTCCCAAAGTGCTGGGATTACAGACGTGAACCACACGCCCGGGCACATGAGCTTCTTTACTCCTCCCACCAACTCTCTGAGGGCAGGTACCATTGTTCTCCCCATTTAACAGGTGAGAAAATTAAGACACTCACTCAAGACCGGGTCCGTTAGAGGGAAAAGAGGAATAAAATAAGAACACTGTTCATTGTTACAAGCACCCATAGTGTTTTCTTTTTGTTGTTGTTGTTTTTCTTTTTAAGACAGGGTCTTGCTCTGTCTCCCAGGCTGGAGTGCAGTGGTGCCATCATAGCTCACGGCAGCCTCGACCTCTGGGGTTTAAGATATCCTCCTGCCTCAGGCTGTCAGGCAGCTGGGACTACAGGCATGTGCCACTATGCCTTGCTAATTTTTTAATTTTTAATTTTGTAGAGAAGGTGTTTTGCTATGTCGCCCAGGTTGGTCTCAAACTCCTGAGCTCAAGCAATCCTCCCACCTCGGCCTCCCAAAGTGCTGAGATTGTAGGTGTGACTCAGCATGCCTGGCCCCCCCACATAGTATTCATAGGACTTCTATGTGCACGATGAAAATAGTCACTAATTATTATTATTATTATTTTTTGAGACAGAGTCTCACTCTGTCATCCAGGCTGGAGTACAATATCATGATTTCGGCTCACTGCAACCTCCGCCTCCTGCGTTCCAGTGATTCTCCTGCCTCAGCCTCCTGAGTAACTGGGATTACAGGCGCACACCTCCGCTCTCAGCTAATTTTTATATTTTTAGTAGAGACAGGATTTCACCTGTTGGCTAGGTTGGTCTTGAACTCTTGGACTCAAGCAATCCTCCTGCCTCGGCTTCCCAAAGTGCTGGGATTACAGGCATGAGCCACTGCACTTGGCTGCTGCTAATTATTGGTATATATATTATGTGCTGGGCACTTAGCAGGGTACTTTGTATATATATTCTTTTAAGCCTGACCAGAACTCTCAAGGTATATATTATTTTCATTTTATCATTGAGGAAACAGAGGCCCAGAGAGATTAGGTAACTTGCCCAAGATCACCCAGCGGCTGGTGGAGACACAGGGATGCACACCAATGCCCTTTGGGTCCCAACCCAATAGCCCTGGCTGCCCTTCGTGACTGGCAAATGTGGTGGTGGCAAGGGTTTGCGGTTGAGAATCAGGGTGTGCTCTTATGTTTCTGTTCTGCATTTTACTGTGGGTGTGACCTAGACAACTGAGCTTTTGTGAAGTCTCAGTTTTCATTTTTGTCTTTTTTTTTGAGACGGAATCTCGCTTTGTCGCCCTGGCTGGAGTGCAGTGGCACAATCTCAGCTCCCTGCAACTTCTGCTTCCCGGGTTCAAGCAGTTCTCCTGCCTCAGCCTCCTGAATAATTGGAATTAGAGGCGCACGCCACTATGCCTGGTGAATTTTTGTATTTTTAGTAGAGATGGGGTTTCACCATGTTACCCAGGATGGTCTCAATCTCCTGACCTCGTGATCCACCCGCCTCAGCCTCCCAAAGTGCTGGGATTACGGGCATGAGCCATTGCACCTGGCTAAGTCTCAGTTTTCTTATCGGTCACATGGGGATTATGATGAATGTGATTACAACCTCACCTGTCAGTCATGAGAAATAAATGTGATAATTAACATGAAGGCAATCTGTAGACTGGATAGTGCTATAGAAATGTTTATTGTTATTTGCATTTGTAGATATAGATACTGAGGATTGCAGAGGTTAAGCGGCATGTCTATGATCACCCAGCCAAAAGCGACAGAGCCAGGATTTGAAACCACCGGTATTTGAGGAAATGCCCAAAGGGACCATTTCTAAGTGGGGCACAATGTGGGTCTTGAATGCTGATTACCTGAGTGGAAGAACTCAGGGTGCTCTTTGCCTTAAAGGATGGAGTTAGGGGGAGAAGGGAGCTTTAGAGAATGCTACCTTCAGGAATAAAAGAGGGTACAGGAATCTCTCCCAAATAGCGTCTCAGAGGACATCAAGTATGAGGAGGCGGTGAAGTTCTAGAATCTTGTCTACAGCTTATTATTATTATTGTTGTTATTATTTTGAGACAAAGTCTCGCTCTGTCGCCCAGGCTGGAGTGCAGTGGTGCGATCTCAGATCACGGCAGGCTCCGCCTCCCGGGTTCATACCATTCTCCTGCCTCAGCCTCCTGAGTAGCTGGGATTACAGGCACCTACCACCACACCTGGTTAATTTTTTTTTTCTTTTTTTGTATTTTTAGTAGAGACAGGGTTTCACTGTGTTAGTCAGGATGGTATTATTATTATTATTGAGACAAGAGTCGCGCTCTGTCACCCAGGCTGGAGTACAGTGGCTTGATCTCGACTCACTGCAACCGCCGCCTCCTGCGTTCAAGTGATTCTCCTGTCTCGTCCTCTGGAGTAGCTGGGATTACAGGTGCCCGCCACCACGCCCAGCTAATTTTTGTATTTTTAGTAGAGACGGGGTTTCACCATGTTGACCAGGTTGGCCTGGAACTCCTGACCTCAAATGATCCACCCACCTCAGCCTCCTAAAGTGCTGGGATTACAGGCGTGAGCCACCACACCCAGTCCTTTTTTTTTTTTTTTTTTTTTTGAGATGGAGTCTCACTCTGTTGCCAGGGCTGGAGTGCAATGGCGCAATCTCAGCTCACTGCAATCTCCGCCTCCTGGGTTCAAGTGATTCTCCTACCTCAGCCTTCCAAGTAGCTGGGATTACAGGCAGTGTGTAATAGAGTCACCATGTGATGGAGGGCATCATGCTGGGGTAAGTTTTGTATTTTTGTAGAGATGGGGTTTTACCATGTTCGCCAGGCTGGTCTTGAACTCCTCATCTCAGGTGATCCACCCACCTCGGCCTCCCAGAGTGCTGGGATTACAGCCTTGAGCAACTGCACCCAGCCAGTTATTATTATTATTGTTACTATGTTTTGAGAAGGAGTCCCACTCTGTTGCCCAGGCTGGAATGCAGTAGTGCCATCTCGGCTCACTACACCTCCTCCACCCGGGTTCAAGCAGTTCTCATGCCTCAGTCTCTTAAGTAGCCGGGATTACAGGAGCGCACCACCACAGCTGGATAATTTTTCTTTTATTTATTTATTTTTTTTGAGATGGGGTTTCGCTCTTGTCACCCAGGCTAGAGTGCAATGGTACGATCTTGGCTGGCTCATGACAACCTCCGCCTCCTGGGTTCAAGCAATTCTCCCCTCTTAGCCTCCCAAGTAGCTGGGATTACAGGCACCCGCCCCCGTGCCCAGCTAGTTTTTGTATTTTCTTAGTAGAGATGGGGTTTCACCATGTATTGGCCAGGCTGGTCTTGAACTCCTGACCTCAGGTGATCACCTGCCTCGGCCTCCCAATGTGCTGGGATTACAAGTGTGAGCCACCATGCCCAGCCCCATAGTCATTGTTGAATTACCCCTGTCTCCTCTAAGTCAGCAGTTTGCAAACCTGAGTGTTCATCAGAATCACCTGGAAGGCTGGGCCCTACCCACAGGGTTATGATTCAGCAGGTTCGGTGGAACCCGAGAATCTGCATTTCTAACAGATTCCCAGGTGATGCTGCTGGTCTGGGAACCACACTTTGTGAACCACTAACTTAAGTCAACAAAAAAAACCCTTTTGAGAAGTGCTGCTCTGGCTTTGAATTGAGGGAGAACAGAAAGGCAGGGAGCAGCACCTCCTGAGGGGTTTGTGGTGGCTCCTCTTGGAGCCTCTGGGAGTCTCAGGCTACAGGCATACTCTCTTGTCACCCCAGAGCTTCCTCCCTCCTGGGCCTTCTGGGGCCTGTGCTGTCTCCAGGTTCTTCCACCTCTTACCTTGGGTGGTGTCCTCCATCTTGATGGGCACGAGGGGGCTCTTACCTTGGGTGGTGTCCTCCATCTTGATGGGCACGAGGGGGCTCTGGGGCGCTGAGTCGCCGCTCAGGGAGTAGCTGTGCTCCGCCTGGATGCCTGGCGTAGGGGAGTCCAGTTCCATGTCCAATAGAGGGCTCTTCTCATCCAGCACAGGGTCATCAAAGAAACTGCTGAACAGGTCGTTGGAGAAGTCCTCCATGTTCTCCGTGAAGTGGTCCAGGTGCTCAGGAAAGTGCTAGGGAAGGAGAAGGTGAGGGGAAGAGGGAATTCAGCTTTGCTTGGGGAGGGGGTGCAGGTGCTACTGTGGTGGTGCGGCACCCACCACGGCCACCGTTGTCACTGCGACCTCCCATTACTGTGCCCATTCCCATTAATACCAGCAACATCACCAACCTCCCCACTACCAATATCACAACACCAACTCTCATCATTTCCATCACGACCATTACCACTGTCATCCCATTCTCTCTACTACCAGCTCCACCCTCACCATCGTTATCTGCAAGGGTGAGCTGCGGATGGGGTCAAAAAGTCCCTGGACCCGGCAACAGGACACTGGGCTCTGTGACCTTGGTCAAATGACTTAAACTTCGTGAGTCAGTTTCTCAGTCCTTCTTACTTCCTTCATAGGCTGATGTGAGGACAAAGTAAGAGAACAACCGTGTGTCTACGCCAACAAGTTTCTTTTCCAAAGGCAATATTAGTGAATTTTGTGTGATCTTTTGCTGGAATGTGGGAAGAGAGTGATGCAGGGTGGTGGGATTCTTGAAGCCTCCAGTCCCCTCAGCAGCACAGTCCCCATCTGTCCTCAAGACTTCAGGGTCTCTGTCCTTTCCCAAGCCATCCTTTATACGGAGAGGTTAGGCTCTGGAGCCCTACTACTTAGGTTCGAATGGTGGCCTCCATCCTTCCAGCTATGACTCAGTGCTGTTTAAACTGTGGGTGGTGACTCATTAATGGGTTGTGAAATCAATTTAGTGGGTCACGACCAGAATTTTAAGTAAAAATAAAACAGAAAAAAAAAAAAAAGGTAGAAAATATCAGAGTGCACAGCACACAGTGGAGTTAAATACCTGGTAATTTAAAAACAAATCAGTTATGTGTGTGTGCGTGCTCGCACATGTGTGTACTTGGTAATGATGTAACATATATTTCTTAGAAACAAAAAAGTCAGGCCGGGCGCAGTGGCTCACGCCTGTAATCCCAGCACTTTGGGAGGCCGAGTGGGGGTGGATCACCTGAGGTCGGGAGTTCGAGACCAGCCTGACCAACATGGAGAAACCCCATCTCTACTAAAAATACAAAATTAGCTGGGCCTGGTGGCACATGCC